CCCAACGAACCCACTGGGCAGACACGGCTGTGGGCGCAAGTGTACAGATTTCGGTGAAGACGGTTTTGCAAAGGCGAGGGCAAGGGTGGGAAGGAATCCGCTGATCAGGCGGCCGGTGGGACCCGTGAGCGCAAGCCCCTGCAATTATGGTGGTACGTGTTCTAGAAGTCGCGTAACCCGGTGCCTTACACAGGGAATCGGCAGACGCGGTTGTGAGGATATTGCAGTTTGTGTTGACGTATGCTACTAACGGCTGCTACTAACGGCCTCCTACAAGTTCCGAGCCGAGGAACCCACTGGGCAGACACGGCTGTGAGCGCAAGTGCGTGTGTGATCGTGTGCGTAGGAGGCTAATCGCAAAAGCAAGGTGCGGATTGAATCCGCTGAGCCCATGCGGATAGCGCGGTACGTGGTCTGGGTTTCTGGTAAACCACAGTGCCTTCCTGAGGCATCAGCAGACACGGCACGGCTGTGAAGTGCGTGAGCAGCCGGGTCTCGCAACGGCAAAGGCAGCAAGGACACCGACGGCTGTGAGTGCAAGCGCGTGCGCAGAATCGGCGAGGTGCAGATTTCGCAAAGGCACGGGTTGCGAGTGCTGACCAGACGGGCGGGCGGCGAGCGCAAGCCGCATATGGCGGTACGTGGTGTGGTAAGCTAGTACTGGCCTCCCAACGAACCCACTGGCCAGACACGGCTGTGGGCGCAAGTGTACAGATTTCGGTGAAGACGGTTTTGCAAAGGCGAGGGCAAGGGTGGGAAGGAATCCGCTGATCAGGCGGCATGTGGGGCCCGTGAGCGCAAGCCCCTGCAAATATGGTGGTGCGTGTTCTAGAAATCGCGCAACCCGGTGCCTTACCCAAGGAATCGGCAGACACGGTTGCGAGCGCAACGTGATATCGCATATTCCATGTGGATATTGCAGTTTGTGTTGACGTATGCTACTAACGGCTGCTACTAACGGCCTCACACAAGTTTCGAGGAACCCACTCGGCAGACACGGCTGTGAGCGCAAGTGCGTGTGTGATCGTGTGTGTTTAAAAGCAAGGCGCGGATTGAATCCGCTGAGCCCATGCGGGTAGCCGTGGTCTGGGTTTCTGGTAAACCACAGTGCCTTCCTGAGGCATCAGCAGACACGACACGGCTGTGAAGTGTGTGAGCAGCGGTCGGGTCTCGCAACGGCAAAGGCAGCAAGGACACCGCTGGGCAGACACGGCTGTGAGTGCAAGCGCGTGCGCAGAATCGGCGAGTGGTGCAGATTTCGCCAAGGCACGGGTTGCGAGTGCTGATCAGACGGGCGGGCGGCGAGCGCAAGCCGCACATGGCGGTACGTGGTGTGGTATAGGCTAGTACTGGCCTCTCAACGAACCCACTGGGCAGACACGGCTGTGGGCGCAAGTGTACAGATTTCGGTGAAGACGGTTTTGCAAAGGCGAGGGCAAGGGTGGGAAGGAATCCGCTGATCATGGTACGTGTTCTAGAAATCGCGTAACGCGGTGCCTTACCCCAGGAATCGGCAGACACGGTTGTGAGCGCAATGTTATATCGCATATTCCCCATGTGGATATTGCAGTTTGTGTTGACGTATGCTACTAACGGCTGCTACTAACGGCCTCCTACAAGTTCCGAGCCGAGGAACCCACTGGGCAGACACGGCTGTGAGCGCAAGTGCGTGTGTGATCGTGTGCGTAGGAGGCTAATCGCAAAAGCAAGGTGCGGATTGAATCCGCTGAGCCCATGCGGATAGCGCGGTACGTGGTCTGGGTTTCTGGTAAACCACAGTGCCTCCCCGAGGCATCAGCAGACACGGCACGGCGGTGAAGCGCGTGAGCAGCGGTCGGGTCTCGCAACGGCAAAGGCAGCAAGGACACCGCTGGGCAGACACCGGTGTGAGTGCAAGCGCGTGCGCAGAATCGGCGAGTGGTGCAGATTTCGCAAAGGCACGGGTTGCGAGTGCTGATCAGACGGGCGGGCGGCGAGCGCAAACCGCATATGGCGGTACGAGGTGTGGTAAGCTAGGGCCTCCCAACGAACCCACTGGGCAGACACGGCTGTGGGCGCAAGATGGCGCAAGTGTACAGAGTTCGGTGAAGACGGTATTTTGCAAAGGCGAGAGCAAGGGTGGGAAGGAATCCGCTGATCAGGCGGCAGGTGGGGCCCGTGAGCGCAAGCCCCTGCAAATATGGTGGTACGTGTTCTAGAAATCGCGTAACCCGGTGCCTTACCCCAGGAATCGGCAGACACGGTTGTGAGCGCAACGTGATATCGCGTGCGCAGAATCGGCGAGTGGTGCAGATTTCGCACGGCACGGGTTGCGAGTGCTGATCAGACGGGCGGGCGGCGAGCGCAAGCCGCATGTGGCGGTATGTGGTGTGGTAAGCTAGTGCTGGCCTCCCAACGAACCCACTGGGCAGACACGGCTGTGGGCGCAAGTGTACAGATTTCGGTGAAGACGGTTTTGCAAAGGCGCGGGCAAGGGTGGGAAGGAATCCGCTGATCAGGCGGCAGGTGGGGCCCGTGAGCGCAAGCCCCTGCAAATACGGTGGTACGTGCGCGTAACCCGGTGCCTTACCGCAAGGAATCGGCAGACACGGTTGTGAGCGCAACGTGGTATCGCATATTCCCATGTGGATATTGCAGTTTGTGTTGACGTATGCTACTAACGGCTGCTACTAACGGCCTCACACAAGTTTCGAGGAACCCACTCGGCAGACACGGCTGTGAGCGCAAGTGCGTGTGTGATCGTGTGTGTTTAAAAGCAAGGCGCGGATTGAATCCGCTGAGCCCATGCGGGTAGCCGTGGTCTGGGTTTCTGGTAAACCACATGTGCCTTTTTGAGGCATCAGCAGACACGGCACGGCTGTGAAGTGCGTGAGCAGCGGTCGGGTCTCGCAACGGCAAAGGCAGCAAGGACACCGCTGGGCAGACACGGCTGTGAGTGCAAGCGCGTGCGCAGAATTGGCGAGTATAGTGCAGATTTCGCAAAGGCACGGGTTGCGAGTGCTGATCAGACGGGCGGGCGGCGAGCGCAAGCCGCATATGGCGGTACGTGGTGTGGTAAGCTAGTACTGGCCTCCCAACGAACCCACTGGGCAGACACGGCTGTGGGCGCAAGTGTACAGATTTCGGTGAAGACGGTTTTGCAAAGGCGAGGGCAAGGGTGGGAAGGAATCCGCTGATCAGGCGGCAGGTGGGGCCCGTGAGCGCAAGCCCGTGCAAATACGGTGGTACGTGTTCTAAAAATCGCGTAGCCCGGTGCCTTACCCAAGGAATCGGCAGACACGGTTGTGAGCGCAACGTGGTATCGCATATTCCCATGTGGATATTGCAGTTTGTGTTGACGTCTGCTACTAACGGCTGCTATTAACGGCCTCCCACAAGTTTCGGGGAACCCACTGGGCAGACACGGCTATGAGCGCAAGTGCGTGTGTGATCGTGTGTGTAGGAGGCTATTCGCAAAAGCAAGGTGCGGATTGAATCCGCTGAGCCCATGCGGGTAGCCGTGATCTGGGTTTCTGGTAAACCACAGTGCGTTCCCGAGGCATCAGCAGACACGGCGCGGCTGTGAAGTGCGTGAGCAGCGGTCGAGTCTCGCAAAGGCAAGGGCGGTAAGCACACCGCACTCATCACCAGAGGGGGTGTGAGTACTGAGGCGATTTAGCATATAGTAGTGACTTAGTAGTGGCGTCCCTAGGAACCCACTGGGCAGACACACGGCTGTGAGTGCAAGCGCGTGCGTAGAATGGCGGGTTGGAAGTGCTGATCAGACGGGCGGGCGGCGAGCGCAAGCCGCAAGCCCACGCGTAAATGGCGATACGTCGTGTCGTATTGAACGAACCCACTGGGCAGACACGGCTGTGGGCGCAAGTGTACAGGTTTTGGAGAAGTCGATGTTGCAAAGGCGAGGGCAAGGGTGGGAAGGAATCCGCTGATCAGGCGGCAGGTGGGGCCCGTGAGCGGAAGCCCACGCAAAAAGGGCGACCCGCGCCCACCAAATCACGTAACCCGGTACCTTCCCCAAACAATCGGCAGACACGGCTGTGAGCGCAACGTGTTATCGTGTATTGTGGCACTGGCCTCTCCGGTCCCGGGCACGGTCGTGAGTGTGGGTACAGATTTTGCAACGGCAGGCGGTGGGAAGGCATCCTCTGATCAGACGGAGGTCTCCTCGCTCATAGGTTGAGTCTTTGTACCATTGCCTGCTGCATGCACCAGGCACTGCTAGTATCTGCTAGTGTTTTTCTATACAGATGGCGCTGTCCAATACCAAGACTCGTTGCGTTCAAACTCCACATATTGCGGATCCAGTCAGCAATGGGGTTTTGTGGGGATGCCCAGTGCCCATCGAAGTCTGTTTGCAGAATTCAGGGGTTGTCGCTACGATTCTAGCGCGAGTCGCCGAATCTTGTTAATCATATATACACTACACCTGTTGGTTGACTATTTTCCACAAATCGTAGCCTGCCGTACAGCGAACGCACCACCCACAAATGCAAGCCTGGATATGCAAACATGGCGTCATGCATGCAGATGTTGCAAAGTGTCGTCGCCAATCAGCAGCGGGTTCGTCAACGTAGCTAGCGCGTGCCTGAGCATCTATGCTGTGTCGCGAGCTCTGTAGTTCAATCCCGGTCGACTGCATAATCCCGGCTGTGTGCGACTGAGAGTGTAGTCGGTGCTTCGGTTGCTGGCGGGGCATTCCTTTGCAGCACCAGTTTTCGTCCACATCCACAGCAACTCACAGCATTTGCCCACTGATATGTAGTATGTTACATACTGTATAGTATAGTCTGCGATACTATACTTACCACCATACCGTTCGGTAGTTATGATGCCACGCCATCGTTGAGATTCGTCTGAGACTCTTTCAGGCCTTTCGCATCCAGGCGCTTAGGCTTGGTTTTACATGTCTCTGCAAATAAGTTCTAGCCTAGTGTACAAGGATGGTGCACCGGAGTGTCTGTGTTCTGGGGTTTCAGGGATGTGTCTGGTTGCTGCAGGCAATGCTCCGATGCTTCGGAAGCGTCTGCTCCAACCGTGACCGTGTGGTGGCGAAGCCACGAGCTCAGCAGCACCACTCTCAGGCGAAGCTTGGCTCTGTGTCTTTCCGTTGTTGCGAGTGCGGGTGTGCCAGGCCTGCGAATGCGAAAAGCAGGTTGTGTGTAGTCTCGGCAATGGCTCCAGGAATCACTGACTTGGCCTAGGGTTCGCGGCGGTGCGATTGTGGAAAGTGAAGTTTCTGTTGCTACTAGCGGTGTATTAGAGGTGTATGTGTCATCAAACACTTTGTGCTCAAACTGTTGGGGTTCGGCTTAGAGGCTTTCGCCAGACAAGGCAGCTGCCAGGAGCAGCGTTCAAAGAGTTCTTCTTTGATAGTGTGTGTGTGTGTGTGTGGCCAGGACTTCGAGGATGTTTAGGGGATCTAACCCCGGAGACATAGGGTTTGGGGTTCAGGGCAAAATGCTGCTGCACCGATCTCATTAATTTATCGAGTACGCTGCGCTTCAAATGAGATGCAATTTGTTTCCGAACTCCCGCAATCACGAGCCGAGTCGCGGTCATACCATGCCATCCTTCCGACGCCTATGTTCAGAGCGGAGGATGTCTCCGACTTGTTCGAACTTCGATGATTTTGACTTTCGCGCTGGTCAGCTCGCCTGGAGGTCTTGGACTACCGGGCTCGGATCTCTGGAGCCGCGCACCAACCTGGGTGGCATACTTGGAGGTTCGTGGGGAGTTATCAGGGGGGTAATAAGTCCTTTAAGTTCCTTTAGTATGGGCTATAACTTGCTATAACTATAGTTAGTTACCCTACTTATAGCCCTACTTATAACTTCCCATGAAACTCCAAGTAGTGCTGTTGGGCAAGTCTGCCTGCAAGCTTCTGCGCCAGGGCGCACCACCCCCTTGCGGAAAATGGAGTCTGGTGCTTGGCAGCCCGTAAGCTTGGAAATGGCATGGCGTGTGGGCTTGGGGTTTTCGCATCACAGAGTCAAAGCCTCAAAAAGAGGCACGTAGCAAAGCCGTACGGAGGTGCAGGATATGTCCCGAATGGCTTTTCAAGACGAAGGCGCTGCCCTTACCGTGGCGTGTGGTTTAGGCGGCATGCTGAGCTTGAACCTCGAACACGTTTGGATTTTGAAGAATCGGAAGGCTTGATGCCGGATCGGGTCACACATGCTTTGCGGACTGTCTTGCATCCATTCAGAGCTGTTCATAGCAGCCATTTGAACCCAAGGAGTGCCTGCAGTTAGACAGCTAGCGAATTTGGGCGCAATGCTGTGGTTCGCGTGTCTTGCCTTCGTGCACTGTGCCGCTTCAGGGGCTGTTGAGAGCGCCGCAGGCGATGCTACCTGTGCGCTACAGCACCAGCAGAAGCAGCTCTTCCCGCCCTTCCAGCTGTATGCACAAATGAGGCGATGCCAGTCCCCAAAGGGTAGCCAGCACCTGAGACCGGGTTGGAAGAGACATGGGCTGAGGAAATATTGTGCCCAATAGTTGTTACTACATGTCAATCATGTCAATGTTTTTAATTGATATTCAATAATTAGTTTAGTTATTCCATTAGTCCCTGGAGGCATGAGCTGTCCTACATGGACACAGACACGGAAGCCCGCAAAGATCTCAGCTTGTGGCGACCCAAACTCAAAGCTGGACAGTATTACTTGGGTGATTCTTGTTCCCGTCATCATTTCGATGAAGGTGACCAGCCAATGATGCTCAGTATTGTCATTGAGCCGAATTATGGTTTCGAGTGGGTCGTGAGCCAGCCAACGGGAATGACTTTCCTTTGGAATGATCGCGGCACAGATGGTGATGAAGACGGTGGTTTCTTCATGCCCGAATGCCCGCCCAAGTACGTGGCACTGGGGATCGTTGGTGAGCAGGGTCTCCCCAATGATTTGAAAGATCCGGGCCCAGTTAACTGGCAAGATCTTCGTTGCATTCATGAAGATTTCACCATGACAACTTCTTCGGCATTTCCATCTCGGAAGAAGATTGAGAATGACAAAAGCGGAAAGCTGCTGTGGAATGACAAGGGCAGCGGTGCGAAATACAGTGGCTCCATTTATCTCGGAATGGAATACATCCAAGAAGAAAGCTTACAGCTGATGGTTAGGGGCCCTTGTGTCGGCTACGGACCAAAAGGATATCCCCACGGGCAGTGGCTTCAGGACATTAAAGAGAAAGATTACACAAAATTCCAGCCCTGGAACTTCTTGTCATGGACTGCCCTCAAAAATGCCGGAGGTTTCACACCAGACACAGAATCCTGGGTTCTTGCGCAGATGAACCGCCTCACGCACGATCTCAACGCTGCTATCGCAAAAGCAATGCCAAAGGAGATCGATACAAAGACTCCCCCCAGCAAAGGACATACGACGGTGGTGGAGTGTACTCTTCACTACGCATTCGAGCTGTCGCCGCTTGAGAAGCCAAAAGTCGAGATCGAGCACTTTGTGGATGTGGCCAGCGATAGGAGCTTGTTTTCCATCGGGATGCATGGAAGCTTTGACCTCAAGGTCCAGGCGAGGTTTAAGCTCAAGGCAACGGATAAATTGTGCCTGTTGTGGAGTGGCAAGGCGAACGAGCCGGTTGAGACCAAGGTGAGTCTGCGCGTCACACCAACAATCTCGGTGTCCATCCAGGTCTGTGAGCTTGGAGTCAGGCTCAAGGTCGACAGCTTCGCCCTGAATTTGGGAGACGTGCATCTGTCAGGCATCAAGGTTCATCTTGACCTTCCAGATCCGATCATGGATGTTGTCGATGCCTTCATCGAGAATAGCCGAGTCGACACGGAGCATGCGATCAAGAAAGCCGCCAACGGCCTGAATGGCCTTGTCACAGATGCAATCAACAAGGAACTTAAGTGCATGTCTTTGCTTGGAACCTGGTAGCAACGACTCCAGGTTTGCAACGAAAATCTTCCATATGATATCTTTTGACGGCCATGGCCATGGTCGAGTCTGGAGGCTCAGAACGAGACTCTGGACTGGAGGCTCAGAACGAGTCTCTCGATGATTTCCGCGCTCTCGGTAGACTGGCAATGCGCTACCTGGATATAAAATAGTCTGCAACCTATGAGCTAGGAATGTGCTCTGATTCCATGGCATTGCTTTGTTGCAAGGGAGATCACATGCGTTTCGCACCTCCGAGGTGTGCGCACCCATCCTTGCAGCTGGCATCATGCAGGCCTGCACAGGGCACCAGCGCTTTTCTGGATTCTCGACTGCGCTGTAAGACTGTAGGACTGTTGGCCGCAGCTCATCAATCACTAATTTGCTTTTGTCGAGTATGGGTCGTCGAGTCTAGATGTTGAATTTTTCCTGCGTCAAAAGCCGACAAGCCTCAAACTGCAGACGAGACAGAGCCGGCGATGCGTAGCGCCGGCGGCTACAAGTTTTGTGTGTTTTTGTGGACGATGATTTCCTGAGCCATTCAACACATCAGTGGGCTAGGGAGGTGGAAAAGACGTGGCTAACTGGCGCGCCTCTAGATCCCACTTGACGTCCAGGCCGTGCTGCTGGAGACGTTGTGCCGCAGGCGGACAGGGCAATGTCCGGGACTGCAGTGTTCACGGAATATGGCAGGGCCTTCAGCAACTGATTCAAAACTCGTTTCAGTCGCAATTCGGTGCGTTGACTGACTGAATTTGTCTATCTTCCTTTGCTCGTGAAACTGACAATTTTGGCTCGCGCTGTTAAGGTTACCGAACCGCACATTCCTCCCAAGAGCAGACTGGCTGGAGTCTAGATAGTAGGAGAGTGTAGGGCGTAGGGTACGGGCACAGATCTTGCAGTGCAGGCTTGAAATTCTCTCGGAAACAAAAGGTCCCAGTAATGCAGTCTCCAAAGGGCCAGGATGCCACAGCACGGACACGGCAATGTCCTGCACAATTGTGCCTCATTTTGACTTGAAGCCCGTTGTTTGCAAGCGGCTGTTGCGCAGATGTCGTCGCGCATGCCTTACAGCAGATTCAAAGACTTGCAGCGAGTTCGATCGAAACCCCGTGATACCCCGTGTGATGCGTGCTTATCCGCGGTTGAGAGTCCTAGTGTCAGAGTGGAAAGCTGAGCTCTGCTCTCAACGCTCATCTTTCAGTGCCAGCCAGCTTGTGTTTTGCAAAGGCCGTGGAGACGAGACGAGTTGGTCAGACAGAGGCCGCTACATCACATCCGCGCATGTGGGTGCCAGGCTGCTCCGTGTTCTTTGTCCAGGTCCATGCCAGCGTACAGAGGTCTTGCGCGGCCAGGTTCACGGCTCAGGGCGTCGTGCAGTCCACCTTGCATAGCATCTCCCGGCGCATGCGCATAGAAAGCGAGGCCACAGGTATCTACTGTCGTCTTCCAAGAAGTAGCTAACATTGGATGTTACTTACCATTGCAAGTTCACATTGTTGTAGGTTAGAATCAACAGTAGCCCTTTCAACCTTAACCCCATTTCGCGTATTGGCCATGTGGCGCGGGCGTAGATGTCGATGGGCCATTGGCGTGGCGGCTGCTGTTTTGCCGGTTGGACTTTGGACCGCATCGTATTTTGTGTCTGTGGCAGGCTACCAGAGTATGGGTGAAGTCGTTACTACCAATATTTTAGGGGAGAGTAACTAAGAGTAGTCAGTAACGAAGGGATGGTGCGCAAACAATGACTGGTAATTGAGACGACTGTATGGAATGTATTGTGCATGAACATGGGGTTATAGCCAAGAGCAAGGAGGAGTCTATTTTTCGTGGTACATGCCATACTGACCCTGACAGGCTACTTTGCCAGTTTGGCAGCTGCCCTTTGGATCTACATCATGGGCTACTTTGTTTTGAAGGATCAAGCATATCCCTTTGCCTTGCCAATGCGCTTTATTTGCATCCTGTTTGTCTGGTGTGTGACAGTGGCTGTGACCACGGTCCCACTGGCGGTCTTTGGTGGCTTCGATACTTGCAGCGAGTTTGATCCGTCTATTGCAGATGAGAATGGGCGATCGTTTCACGATCTCTGGGCAGATGCAATTGTCAGAGTCATCGTAACCTCAATCCTGGCCGTATTGGCTGGGTTTATGTCCCTGGCCGACCATCCAGAATCAACTTACATCCGACAATCCTTGCGGTGTGTGATGTTCTATTGGCTTGGCAACGCCTCGCGCTGCATCGATGGCTTCACAAGAGCATGTACGGGTACAGATGAAAACAGTGATGGTCTGAGAGACGATGTCATGTATCGCTATCCGATTGCATACCAGGGTTCCGCCTTTGGGGTCGCGGTAAGCTTCCTGGGCGATATTTGGTGCATTCAGCTGGTGATTGAAAAGCTGGTTGGTTTCCAGGAAGCTTTTGGGGAGAATCTTCCATGCATGAAAGCCATCAGCTGTTTGTCTCTGGTGATGAAAGTCTGCATGGTCTTGGTAGGTGTGTCGGTCCTCTTGCACCCGGTGGTCAGGTTGGCCGTTGACACGCTCGCAACCTTTTGCCTCTTTTGGCTGGTGGTGCTGGTTTGCTGGGCATACTCGCTTCCCATGCAGTCGTTGAGGGATGCACGGAAGGTGGATAGCGAAGATGATGTCATGGGAGAACAACTGCTGAAAGAGACATGTTTTGCAATGAGGGTGATTGGTGCAGCCCAAGTTGGTTTCGTTGTGGCAGGCTTGTCCATGGCTCTCTTCCTGCTATTCCACGGTCTGTATCCGCTCATAAAAACAAATGCGGTGATGAGTACGTATACATACGCTGGTTTAGCAGATTCTTTGGGCAATGCGCTCTGCGTAGCTCTTCTGTGTGCCCCTTCTTTGTCCTTGCCGAACATGTCTTGTTGCCGTCCGAAGTCAGTATCCGCCGGCATTGAAGGTAGCCGAGTGGAGTCAGGCTGCACGTGTGGACAGCAGCCTGGAAAGACACTAGGGCCCGGACCCTTCCCGGCCCCAGCTAGCACATCCGCCTGTGAAGCCTGCCGGTGCGAGCTTAAGGTGGCAGAGTTGGCAAATCGCAGGGTTTCGGTGGCCCAGCTGCTGAATTTCTACACCCAGTTGGGCTCTGGAAAGGGCCGGTCGACACCAGCCCGAAGAGCACAATACATGCAACACTTTCTGCCGGAGAAGTCCACAACCAACGATGTGGTGCGCCATGCTGTTATCCCAGCATCTCGCTGCGGCGAGACGGGAGAGGCATTGGCCGTGACATGGCAGGCGTCCAAAAACGAAGCATCTTCAAGCCGGCGTTCAAGCCACGATGTCTTGGTGAAAGGTGTCTTTGCCAAGAACCATGCGCCCCGGATTCCCAGCTGAAGTTTTGACAAGATAGTAGACCAGGAAGATGCTTGTGATGGTTCTGGGCGCTGGTAGAACACATCATGGGATTCGTGAGACATGAAGGGAACAACCTCAACGCAATGTTGGGTGGTCACCACTTGTGCGAACAGCCTGTGGCGACGTGTCACTGCGTGTGACGTAGGCTGCTTAACCAAGCACTGAGTTTGTAACTAAGGATGGTCACCCACCACTGGGCGAATCGGTTTCGCGACCTTGTTGCTGCAGTGGTGGCGGATGCTTTGCACTTGTCGCGTTGGGACAGTGTTGCAGAGCAGCTGGGCAGTGGCGAAGTGGAGGGCTTGAGGCAAAAACTTTCAGAAAGCGGGACGGAGAACTTGCAGTATTGGATCTGTGCTCTTTGCATCAACCAGCATGCTAGCATCTGTGGGAACTCCATGGGGGTCCGTGATACGGTGACCGGGGACGTGCTGCCTTCTTGTGATTGCACTACGCCAAAGTATTTCAATGACCATCCAGTGGAGTGCGAACTCAACAAGTTTGATTTGATGATGGAGCATTTGCATCGGCAATACACCCAAGATTTTCTACAAGTGGTAGCCATTGACTTTCAATTTCACCTATTTTCAAGGGCCTGGTGCGTGGCGGAGTTGGTTGAGGCGCACAACAGCCAGTTGGATCAGCATGTGATGCTCCACTCTCCGAAAGTCTTGGAGGAGAACTCGGGTCGCCTCAGCCATCTGAAGCTCGATCTTCTTTCAGCATGAAAGACTATGGTTAGCATCTGTAGGATGACGGTTATACTTAGTTATGTACATATATATATATATATATAGATACACATACACTTAATTATGTACATATACATACATTTACAGTTATACATACATGAAGCTCTAATTTCAACTTTAACTCATTTCCCACTGAACGACATAAGGAAGGTGGAAGACTGCTCGGCTTCCCGAGACGAAGACAAGGAGGCTTGATGGGCGAAACACCCAGCAAATTCCACAAACGTGCCGGTGCGATTGAAAACGAAAAGGGTTACATGATTGGGGGTTTAGGGTCTTGGGGTTTCTTTACGGGTTTAGGGTTTAAGGATTTAGGGGTTAAGGGCTGTTTTAGACTTTATACTAACTTTGCAATCTGGATGACTTCTGGGAGGCAATCCTTTCGAAGATTGGTGGAGCTGCTGACATTGCTAAGTTCAACGACCGCTTGCACCAACTGCTCCTAGGTTCTAAAGGGCTCCTCGCTGGATGGTTAGATGGACAGAAGATGCTCCAAGAGGTAGGCGCCATCGCCGCCCGGGCTCGCAGCCGTTCTGAAGCCTCCCTTTTTTTTTCAGTCTGACCTCAAGCATAGACAGTGGTGTGTTAGTGATGCGCATTCTACCAGACCCATGTTGCTCGTCTTGGCCAACGTTGAACGAAAAGGCTCTCCGCAACTCCAAACGCACTTCAAAGGTATTTTAAAGAAGGTTTCACACGTCTCACCATTTTTTAGCAAATTATGGTCGAATTCGCTGCGGCCAGATCTTGCCATTTGCCAAAAACTTGGCAACTAAATACATGTAACATGTATGTACAGTTGACGCACATGCTTCGTTCCAAGAGCATTCAAAAAAGTTCTCACGGCAGCAGTAGGGATTTCCGGCAGTGACTTCCCACAACATGCATTTATTCCAAGGGGAAAAGGAGGGACACTTAATGGAAACCCCCTACCCCATGATGGGCTACATAATGGGTATGTAATAGCGATATTTAGGGTATATACCTAGGGGTCCTTATTAAGGGTCCCTCCTTGTACCCTTGCATTTATGTCTCGGAAGTCACAGCTGTGTAAAGAGGAAGGGTCAGAGAACTTCCCTGCTCGAGCGTCCGAGACCTACATGGTTTCCAATTCGTTTTTGGGGTCGTGGCCATGGTGGTGTATGCAAACTCTATCAGAGTCGATTGACGCATGAAAGTAAGGGGCAAGGGGTCACCAGGGTTTTTTGAGGACCAGTTGTCGTTTCTTGAGGCTTTCGATGCTACATGATGCTACTTTTCTGCCCATCGGCCCGTCACAGCCGGAGCGGGGGATAGGCACAGTTAGTGCCTGCAGGCATTGAGCTTCAGCCTTGTCGCCTGCTTTGCACGAGTTCTCGGTAGCCTGAGCCGACTGGCCTGCGGCTGTCGTCAGGAATGCGGGCAAGCGCGATCCCTCCTTCACGCAGTAGGCTCAGCCACTTCTGCCCCTGAGAGTTCCATGACCAGCTTGAAGTAGACTTAACCTTAGGCCTGCGAACCTGCGAACCCTAAGCTCGAACTCTTGAAGCCTTCGAACCCAAGCCCTAAAGCCTTAAAGTTGCCCATGAACCCTCAACCCCAAACTCTGAACCCTAACAAAAGCTTCTCAAGCTACCGATTGAGCTTCAAAGTAGGGTTTTCTTGGCGAGCGCCACGGTCTCTCCAAGGAGTCCCGTCCTCAATGACCAGACATGGGCCGTGCACTCAGGGTTCAGAGGTTTAGGGTTTAGGGTTCAGAGGTTTAGGGGCTGTACGGTTTAAAGGTTGCTAATTACTGGGTTTAGGGTTTCATGTCGAGGTGGTTTCAGGGTTTCTTGGGCTGAAAGGTTATGGGGCTTGGAGGTTTTGGGGTTTGCTGTTCAGAGAGGCTACACGGGGTCTGGGGCCTTGGGGTTCAGGGTAACGGTTGAGAGTTTGTATGTGGGGCTTCAAGGTAAACGTTATGAGATTTAAACTTTAAACTTTGCGGGTCAGGGTGCGTGGTTCAGGGTTTAGGGGTTTCAGATTCAGCGGAGAGGGTCTGGCACTGGCTTGGAGTCTTTGGGCATGCCGCGTCTTGTCTTCGAGGCGGTGACTATCGACCCGAAGGAGTGCAGTGGCCTCGGAAGCCATGAGTACTAGGTACTTAGGGTTTAGGGCCTAAGTTTAGGGTGTATGTGACGGTCTATACACTCAAGTTCCGGGAAAAGATTCCGGCAATCTGGCGAAGATTGAAAGTCCCCCGAGGCTTCGAACTCTGAAGATTCCGCTGTGAGCATGTCCTGGGAGCTTGAATGCTCGATGTTCTAGTTCTAGTCTCCCCAAAGTAGCAAAACCAATCGTGAGACTTCAGTTTTGTCTTGCAGCTTTGCGAGAGAGCTTTCTGGGAGAAGTACCGCCAATTCATCTTGCAGTTTCCAGGTTCACCCTTCAAGATTCCTCGGGACACAATACCAGGGAATCTCGAATCTTCGATCTCCTGGGAGTTTATCTTTTCCTCCCTGTCCTGGGTTTCCAGGAATAACTCGCTGTTTGCCAACCCCTCCCCGAAGCTTCTCGCTGAGTGGGCGACGGGATTGCAACAAGGAGTCAAGGACTTTGAAAGTGGACTTATATATTGATAATAACAGATAACCCCACCCCCAAGCCCAGTTCTCATGATCACAGCTTCGATATAAGCCCTGGTGAAGCTACATCAAAGGAGTGCTCATGGCTTCCTTTCTTCGGCCTTCTGCTAGCAGTCCGATGATGACACAATATCCACCCCTTTTGGACCCCAATTGCCATGATGATGTCTGCCTATGTTATCTTGCCAAGAATGGTCAGGGCATTCACAAATCCTTACTCCGTTTCAGCACTCGGACAGCTGCCTTAAAGGCACTTTAGCCGCGACACCCGCAGCCCCGAGGTTCACACCCCGGGGGACCAACGTCGCTGACGAGGCTGAGTCTGGCGGCTCAGTGATTCCAAGCTGTTGTGACATAAACCCCAAGCCGTAAACAGTGAGAACGGATGCCAAGGTACCAAAAAACAGCCCAACTCCCCAAGCCCCTAAAGCCCTCAGCCATCAGTCCTGGACAGTCCTAAACCCCGAAGAGACCTGAGGTTGATGGGACTCCCTGGACAGGATCCCATGCTCGCGCCCAGGCCCCTGTCGGGAAGTGGGGCGGTGAGGTCTCCTTGCTTGGAGGCGGAAGTAGGTTCGAAGTGGGGTATAAGAACTCTAATTGGGGGTTCTCCTTCTTTCACCCTGCTTGCAACCTAAGTCGCCTGATGTCACCTGAGCCTCAAAGAAGCAGCTCTTCACAGGTCTTTCCTAAAGCCAAGCCCGCATACGCGTGTCTCGGAGGACATTCGGCGCCCCGTCGGCTTCGAACACCTTCTAGTCTTCATCAAAGAAGGACGGTTTCGTAAGGCGACTGCAGCCTTAGGCGTCTTGACCCTTGAAGTCCGAAACCCTGACCCTGAACCCTTGCTCTGGGCTTTCTGTGGCCCCAAACCGGAAAACCTCCATCTATCTGGAGAGGACTGACAACATGGATGACACTCGGCAGCAAGTTGAAGCCACTTTTGAACGGCTGGGGGCTTATAGCCAGTGTGGGGCCGAGGGAGGTGTTGTGGAGGTTTCAGGGGGCTTATAGCTGTGTTTTCAGCAGAGCTCTAGAAGGCTTTAAGTTTGCGGGACGTCTTTGGGCTTGGGCTTGGAGTTTGAGACGTGTTAAGGGTGTCCCCTTAGGTTTGCCAGCTGTGTTTCCAAAATGTTGTGGGTCCTTCAGCTGTCGGTCGCTGGGCCATGCATCGTGCCCCCAAGCTACAGCCGAGGGCAAGTACATTCCAGTCAAGTCGGAGCCTTACTGGCCCCAGGAGCATAGCTGTCCTTCGCGGAGAGCTGTTTTACGGACATGTACAGCGATAGTGTTACTGAGTACCCAGGGTCATCGGAGACAGAATTCTCTACTGTAGCAGCAACGATAATGCCCGAACGAAAGACGAAAAAAGCCGTTAGACTCATAATTGCAGCACTACAAGCATCTGCTTTATTGAAGCAAAGACTGTGCAGAAGCCGGTGCAGAGAAGTTGTCGCTCCGCGAAGTGCAAACCACGAATGCGTCTCTGTGTCACCGCCTCAGACATAACGTGGCGCACGAAAGCATGTTCGAGCCAGACCCGAAGACTTTCTGCTGGGGCGCTCTCGCAGGCACCCAATTCCTGCGCTACCAGTTGCAGCTGAGGCCGTGTAGTGGAAGCCGTGTCTGATTGTGAAGTGGCAATCAACCGGAAAGGGATGCACTACTGTTCCACGACGGCAGCCTGTGAGTGGGAGTGGGTGCATCAAGCGGTGCATCAAGCATCAGGAAGGCCTTGCTTCGGTCCTTTAGAGAGGTAGAAGCCAATGTTTCGACTTGTTTGCTGAATACGTCTTCCTCCCCAAACACAGTGAGTTTCACAATTACGGCGATATATTACAAGTTGAGGACAATAGAAACTGCAACACAAGCAGCAACACCCAGTACCAGTACGAATGATCATAATATCATTGTTTAGTTCTTGCTTTTCTCTGACTTGAGACGTGCCTTTGGAGCCAGGAGCAGCGAGGTGAGTGCTCGCTGAGGTGAGCGCAACACTGGAACTGGTGACAGACCCGGAGGCTTGAAGGCGTCTCAGACTTAGGGTTTGGGGCCTGTTGCAAGGTGCAGGTTGCTGTGGTAGAAATTGTGGAGCTCACGCAAAGACTCATGAGCTCCGGTTGGCACCAAGCCACGTTCGACAGAGGAAAAGAGAGGGAATCCATCTGCTGTGCAAACAGCAGTGGCGAAAAGCAATGAATCATACCGGAAATCCATTCTCGTGCACCCGTAAGCTACAAATTCCACAGAGTTCAAATTTGCCTGAGCTCGCCATCGTTCCTCAACCTTGAGGCCTACCGACTTCCGGTATATAGGAGCCTCAGCGCACAGTGATAGTCAGTGATGTCGTAGCGTTACCTACTGTTCAGGAGTGTTATATAGTCCGTATACCCACCCCCCTCCAAGTCGTGTTAGGCTCACTGAGGCCGTAATGAAGATACACCCGGAATGTATTCCCAATGTTTGGCCCACGTTGACTTCGTAGTACTATGTAGTACTTGGAGTCCAGATCTTACACCCCCAAACTCTCGTCGGTCCTGTAGTTGTTCCGGGTGCTAAGTCCGATGCAGTGCACGTGGTCTCCCGGGTGGGAGCCACGGACGCGGTGAGCGTGCTTGAACACAGAATCCTGTAGGGCAGCTTGTGCATTCTGGATTTCATGCAAATGGCAGGACGATGCGCTTGTCTGCCGACAGCAACAGTTTGTGATGTTGTTAGAGGCTTCATTGGGCTTGCTGAGAGCATCGTTTCGTCCGTAGGATACCGGGAACCCTCAACCTAAAATCTTGATCTTTGGAGCCTTGGAGCTCGTTGAGTGGTCATTGGGCTGAGAGTGCATGGTTACGAATCGTCGATCGCTTCTTTTGCATGCTGCAGCACGTCTTGAGTCGGCAACACAGCATGCGCTATGCACACACCCATGCACTTGCACACAGACACAGACACACTCACACACACACGTCACGAGATGTTTTTGAAGAGCAGTCGTAAAGTCCATCCCCTGACCTCCATCACTGTACTCACCAGGGCCCAAGGCCTTTTATGTCAGCGACAGCCAGAAGCTAAACACTAAACCCCAGTATCATCGGTGACGCTGGTTTTGAGGCTGAAGTTGCGGGGCTTCGGGCTCTCGGTTCCTTTAAGGGTTCCTGGTAGTTAGGGTGTAAGGGTCTAGGGCCTCATCAGCCATGGGCTGCTGCGAAAGCGTCCCTTCGGAGGCATGCATGGTTCTAGCTATCTGAAGGTTCGCAAAGGCTCTCGGTTCGAAACGGAGGCATCAACGACTAGAGTATTTCGGAAGACATTCTCGGGAAGAATTTTGGTGTGGGTATCGGGTAGTCTTTCGGTCCCGAAGCTGTCGCCTCCGCCTGAGGTCGTCAGTCCCAAGACGGCTGAGGATAGCGAAGTGCCAGCTGCAAAGCTCAAGGCCGTCCTGCCGGAAGAGCCGGAGAAGCCCGTGGAAGGAACCGAGCAAAGCACAGCTGTCCCAGCGATCACAGCGCCGGCTATCCCCAACCCATGCAAGAAGCTCATCCCGAGCCTTCCCCCAGCCCTTTGGTCGCCAATGCACCGGCGTTACACATGCCAGAAGGCCCTCCAGGCGGAGCCCGCGCAACCCGCGCCGACCGCGCAGCCCGCGCCGACCGCACAGCCCTCGCAGCCCGCAGCCGCTGCTACCACGGTCCATGAGGCAGAGACCAACGCACAAGTGGAAGAGAAACCACAGCGCGCGCCACCAGTGTTGAGCTTTTGCAGCCCGCATCCTGCACTCTTGTCCCCACTGACCCCACTGCATCGCAAGTGGTGTGGCGCTGTGCTGAAGATGCAGCTTGCACAGGTCCCGACACTGCTCGTGAAGAAGGCAGTGCAAGGAGCAGGACAAGCCAAGGCCCTGCAAATGGAGAGCGAGGCGGGGCTGGAGAAGGCCGGCGGCTTGTTTGAGGGGGTGGGTGTGGCGCAGACGCAGAGGGCGAACAGGTGCCAAGAGTCCTCTGCCGGTAGAGTCAGAATACCTGAAACTAGCTGCCTGCGCAGCTGAGACAGTCCTCAAGCAACGTCGCCGACTGTTTCAACTTTCTTGTCCCGCTGAATGCTTATGTGCATAGTCGAATGGGTCAGCGATGTTGCGCCGGTCATTGCGCAGCCTTTGCCCTTGACGCTTCCATGCTAGCTGAGACACTGTGCTGCGTGCTAGATGCGCTAAGACTGAGAGTTGACAATGCGCCGTGAAGCTTCAACTCACTATTTTCGCGCTGGTGGTTGAGCCCTGGCCCTGACCCAAGGACTTCCTTAGAAAGAGTCATTCTCACACAAGTAATGGACTTGTATGGAACATGAGGGAAGTTTAAGTCTGGACAGGGTTCCGAGTGAACCGCTGTTCGTTTGAAATGTGAAAAAGTCTGCGCATGTTGGAGATTCTTGAACCGCTCACCGCTGATCTATTTTCCTGGCTGCGCCAGATACATCTTCGCGATTGCGCCGCGGTCCAAGCTGGAGCATGAGCCGTGTTGTTTTATAATGCGCTTGAACTACAGGCTTGGTTTTCGCAACTTCCTCGGGCGAGTTTGCTCAAGTACATCTGGTCAATGGCATCGTCGAATCGTGCAGCACCTTTCGTCTGGAGTCTGAGGCTAAGGGTTCCAGAAGCAGGTCTCCAGGTTTTCATGCCTCCTTGCTTCTCCCGGCAGTTTGCTGCAGTTGTCGTATGTGGAACTCCATCACTCGATTCTGGCCAAGGCCTGTGAGTCCTGCCGCGATCCCAAGGTGTGGTTCAAGGCTGTTGTCACTTCTGCTTGCCCAAGCTACTGGAGCTACAGGCGTTTCTCTCCGTACATAGGGTTAGTCTGCGGGCCTACCCAGGCATCAGGATGTTAACGTTTACAGTTTACATTGCAGAACGATAAGGATAGCATCAAGAGGAGCGTGTGCATCACGAAAGGTCAAGTTCTGCAAATTTTGCAGTTTGTTCAGATTGTGGCTAAGTCGATAACGAAGCGATAACCCGCCAGGTTGGTTTGGTAGTCATATCCACCACATGCCCACATGTCTGGTTTTATGTGGGGATCTTCCGACTCCTACACAAGCCAGCGACTTGAAGCCCCAGGCCCTAGACCCGAGCTTTTCTGCAACCGGTGAGACACAAGTCAAAAACTACCTTACATAAGCTTTCAGCCTCGACTCTGTTGCTTCAGGCCCAATATGTCGATCAGATCGCTTTCAGGTAGATAGCTGGAAATCCTGCAGAACGATAAGGTGCCCGCGCAAAAGCGATAACCTCATGTAATGGTTGGGAAGGCGGTCTCATAGGTTTTGCCGCTGGCTCGTTTCTAGCAATGCACTCACCACAACCAACATCAGAGTTGGAATCCCAGCAGCATAGAAATTGACATCACGTTGGCAGCAGTATGCAACTACGAATTGCATGTGCGGTTGTGGCTGTCAGTGTATACACCCAGCATGACACAGCGTAGATTCATTGAAAAGCATGTGCTTGGATTAGCTGGCAAAGCCAGGTGCAATTAATTACTGTTTATGCCGCGGGCATTCTGCCTGCGGCTTGATGAGCTCGAAACAGGGATGCCATTTGCCATAAAGAGTGCTATAGGCTATAGCAGACCGTGTTCGTCTGCAGGGCAACCGAAAATTTCGCCCGCACCTAGCCAGGAACCCAGATTGGGCAATAGCAGCTCAGCCCATGCTTGTCCAAACAAAGTGTTTCCTGTCAACCATTGCATCGAGTTGCATGTGATCATCCGAACAGCCCGGTGAAACACCGAGCTCGCTTTGATTGAAATGAAGTTGGGAGTCCTGTCGTGCTGAGTAAGCCCTGCAAGAGCCGGCCTAAGGCAGGCCTGCCAGAAACAAGATGGGTCCGTTGGAGGCCGCTCCTGGCTCGAAGCTGAGTTCTGGCCGAGCGAGATGTAGTGAAGGTTCGGCTATATGCTGGAAGGGTAACTACTGTACAGTTTACTCTAAGGCGTACTTCACAGCTTGCTGTATGGGTTTTACAAGAGATTTGGGGCTTTTTGCTGTCGGGTTTAGGGTTGTAGGGTTCGGGTGTAGTTTTTAGGTCTGTGAAGGTTGTTACATACCCATTACTGACTCGTCAGCTCAGGTTCTCGTGCGAGGGTTTGGACGCAGAAAGTACTTGCATCATCTTACCAGGGATTCTTACGAAGCTTACATTGATTCATCTGGGGGTTGGGCTTACACTTTGTGGTTCAAAGCCCCGTTTTGTGCGATTGATGGGGGGCCGCGCCGGCTATTGTTTAAGGCTTCAGGCTTCGAAAGGGTTGGGCTTTATGGTTGGGGTTTGGGGCCATTGTCAAACAATTGTGTTGGTCGGTCTGCATCTGCGAACCTAAACCTTTTTTAAACCTTACTAAAACTTTATGGAACCTTCAACACTCACTCCCTTGTACCCTTCCAAGAATTCGGACCTAAGTTCTGAAAAGACCATCAACACGTAGGTGAACTTTTTTGTGCACGTCACGATGGCTTATAAACCTTAAGGCCAAGAATGAATCCGCAGCGGGACTTGTCGCATAGCTGAGGAGGGAGATTCGGTTTAGTTTGCCCTGACGTTGTCGCCATGCTCTGCTCTATTGCTACAGCCCGAAGCCGATCAAAACATGCTTTCCTTGCTGTTATCTGTCTTTCATAAGCCAGCATCTTGCAATCCCGGGCCCGCCGGGGCCCACAATCTTTCTGCACCCAGTGTCTGGTCTCATATTTCCACCTAGTTTTCGTTTTAGGCTTTTGCTGCTCAGATGCATGTTATCCAGAACGCACGGCTTAACGTTTTTGCAGTGTATTTGTGGATGTGGACGACGTAAAGGCTGCCACTAGGCTCCGAGTTGGTCTGCAATGCTCTCAAGTCTTGCAAGACATTGGATCCAGGAAGCTCTGCCACAGGAGGAGGCGGAGTGTGGCGAGACCCGCACTCAGAATGCACAACAAGCAAGTGGTGAAGCGCGTCAACTCAGGTACTTAGTCAGCTCAGTCGGCAGTATATTCGGTAGCTACCGCATTCCTTCAAACCGCGTTTCTGGTCTGCATTGTTGGAATTAGGGGCCTAAGGCTACATGATCTGGCGACCTACGATGTCGTAGGGAGATAGGGAATTCGAACTGAGGCCTTGGTAAAACAGGGGCACATTACCGGTGTGAAGGCTTTGATGAGACCCGCACTCAAAACGCAGATAACAACAACTGAACTCCAAGTTTGGAGTCAGGAGGCCGCCAGAAAACAAGGTCTGCCAGGCCTCCGGAAAACAACAAAAACTTGCGCCCGCCGGGTAGCAGCCAGATCCCGGACGCAGGCGTTGCCGGTCGGCATTGGTGTAGGTCTATGACGTCGGACGGTGAAAGTTCTTGCAAGATCAGGCGCGCTCCCGGCTGCCTCGACCTGCCACAACCTGAGCCTGGCCGTGTGAAGCGCATTTCAATCAAGGTGTGGTTTCCGGTGACGATGAGCTCTGTGAGGAAGCTGGTCCTGTTGTTTTTTTGGTGTATGGTGGTTTTGGTGTATGGTGGGGCCATCGAATCGAAACCAAGTCTGATCGAGCTGTTCTGGTTCCCCCTAAGGCCCTCAAGCTAATTTGATGATGGCCACCTTTCCATATTTGTGTTCTAAGGCTCCTGCGCATTTTTTCTGGTTGGGAGGCTCCAAGATGCTATGCCCGATCCTCAGTTAGAAAAGCTCGGGAACTTGCGGGGTTGCTTGTGCAATATGCCTCCAGGGTATTCACCCTGTGTTCATACTCCGTGCGGGTTCTTTTCGACACAGTTCTTATCTGGATCAGCATTCCCTTTGAAAATTCTGGCGAGGACACAGTGCACCTCTACAATGCACAGTCGCTGGTCCAGGCGGGTTGTTTCTTCTTTGCGAGTCTTAAGCGCCCGTGGCAAGTTGTCTTGGTCGTACGGTTGTGGAAAGGTGCCACCGCGACATGTCTTGGCGGCTTTCCTGTGAGTGCGACCATCCGCCTGGTCGCTTAACTCTGGTGACCAGCGCGCTGCCTTCGATTTTTCTGCCTTCCGGCTGAATCCACCAGCGACAGACCCGGAGACTTTACCGTTTAGGGACTTAGAGCTTCAGGATTAGAGTTTATAGGGTTTAGGGACAAAGGATTCGGGCTTTCGGGATTGAGCGTCTGCGTCCAAGGGTTAAGGGTTTAGGCATCAAGGTCTACGTTTCAGGGGAGGCTTTCAGAATCTGTCAGAGCAGGGACACCAGCCGTCGACTAAAAGGGCTGCACGGGGACCCTGGCACAACGAATTCTGACTGCTAGGATCAGTGTGAGCTTCAAAACTTTTCGGCCGCGCCTCCGCGAGCCTTGTTGTCTCAAGTCCCGGTGCCCCTCGCAGAAATTTGTTCTGCGATCCAGGCACGTTGTTGCTTTGTCGCCGTGAGGGACGGGGGGACTGCGTTCCAAAACCATCTCTGTCCCTATAAGGCTCTTTTTGGGGCCTTGGGTGACTAGCATTGCCGGATTTACGCATTATGCTGTTAAGTTGTAGGGATCGGAATGCACACCAATACCGCTACACTCCACACATTTGCACACCTGTGTTGGCCGCGACATCTGGATTATTGGTTTTTTGGCAGATTGTCGCGGCCGAAGCGACATGCAAAGATCTTGTTGCTGTGTGTGTCAAGCCCTGTTTAGATCTTGTGTTTGTTGCTGCATGGTATCCTGCGCTGAGTTCGTGGATGTTGAGTTCAGCCAGCGCAACCTTTTCGCAGGATGGATTCATTTGCGGCCCCCCACCGCCTGCCGCTGCCACCGGCTCACTTCCAAGACAGACGTCTGGAACTCAGGTTTTAGAGAGATGACGGAGAAACATAGGCTATGGTTTGCCCAACTCAGGTGCTCCTGCTCCCCAGAGCTTGACTTACCCAACGGCGAGGCAAACGAAAGCAACACCCAAGCCAAGACCAAGCTTCGCACGAGCTCTTCTCTATTGCAGTTCATCCTACACCGTGGGCGATCCGATGTCGATCGAGCCAGACCTCGAAGGGCTGCGTGCTTGGACACCTGTGGACCGGGATTGTCGCTTTCAAGCTTCCGGTGACTGAGCATGTGCCGCGTGAATGTGCAGAGGTCTGATGGCGGTACATTCGCAGTGGAGCCATCCTTGCCTGAGGCTGCAGCGTCTCAAAGTGTGGAGTCATATTCAGTGCGTCCATCTCCCCACTGTACGACGATCGAATCCCTTTCAAGTTGTGAAGCGCGCAAGAGCTTTGGATCCCAAGTCAACATGTTCAGAACATCTCGGCCCCTCTCCTGGCCCCTGGCCTTCAGGGGCTGGCGCTAGATCCAGCAACAAGTGTGATCAGTGGCCAGCCTGTGGCAGAGTGCGGGCCTGAATTGTCAGAGCCATATTTCCTGCACTGTTTGTCGGAAGACTGCTGTGTGCTATCAGTCTTATTCCTAAGTCATGATCGGAATGGTTGTGGCGATTGATTTGAGACGGTGGTGGTTGGTGTTGTTGTTGTTGTTGGTGGTGGTGGTGCCAGTTTCCAGTCGCAAGTAGGAGAATACGGGAAGCGCTCCTGTTTTTGTTGCTATACTGCTCTTGTTGTTGTTGTAAAGCTGACAGCTCCATACATTGTGGGCATTCGGGCAGGAAATCATTGGCATTGGCACCATGAGTCACAATGGTGAAGTTGTTGGAAGTTTGGTTCAGGCCGACTGTCGATGCAACGGCCATCGACCAAGAGGCAAGGCTCGGGATTCGCTTGGGGACCCGTGGCGCATGGCAAGAAGACTCGGTCTTTGAAGCTTATCGCAGCTCTCTCACTTATTTCAGCATCTCTGACATGACGAAGAGCCGGCTAAGGCCAACACCCCGGGAGTTAACAACTGTGCCATTTGTGGCCAGCGCGGTTAACTCAAGCACAGTTCTCATCGGCTCAGGGTTGCCAGAAAGCTGCTACCAGCTACCAGTTGTGTCACGAGAGTGTTCCAAGCACTTCTAATCGGAGGTCGGAAGCATTCACGTACTGGTCAAAACCGTTGCCGCTCTTTGGCCTTTCGTCCTTTGTCGTTGTGGCTGCAGTGTGTATGATGCGTTGCATTCCCATAATTCCTCAGGCAGCTAAGACGAAGGGCAGGCACGAACCTGTTGCAGCGTAACAACGGGGGCTTTCTGGGTCGATGTGCTGCTTCGGGTTGAAGCCTCACTCCCCCGGGTTTATCAATGCTCGACAGTACCACTTTTCCCCGACTGGCTCTTTCTCGAGTATTTGGCGGGACTTCCGTATCGCATGCGACTATGGCTTTTCGGGCCGGAGGGCTTCCGTTGAGGAGGAATTGGCATTTGAGACATGTCACATATACCCTCCCCAGCGAGCCTTATTATAGCATACTACAAAATGTTTTACTGCATTGTAGTGTTTTATACTATATTATAGTACGTACAATATAGTATCTAAACCCTAAAGCGAATATAGTATGCTACAGTACATTATACTTTATGATTCCCCTAAAACCCCGAACCCCAACAGCCCGCAGAGGAGGCCACCGCCCAGCTCGAGGAGGCGAAGCGCGCCGTGGCCGCGGAGGCCACGGCGCAGAGCACGGCGAATGCGACGCCGGACCCAAGGCTCTCGGAGGTTTAGGTTTAGGGTTGAGGGTTTAGGGTTTTGGGGGTGTGGGGTTCAGGTTTAGGCTTCAGAGAGACCTCGTTCAAAAAGGGTTTAGGGTTTAGGGTTTTTAGCCATCCAGGCGGGCGTATACAAGTCTGTGCAAAAGGGTTTTTAGGGTTTGACGACGGAATTGCGAGAAGTCCCTTCGAAGGGGATCTATGAGGGATCTATGGTGGTTTTCGGGACATAGCGACTGCGAGTTTTTGGGTTGGACGCGTTTGTTGAGATTAAAGTTCTTGTGTGCAGGAGGGTTCAGCCACTGCTTGCGGTTTTTCTCGTACTCCGCTGGATTCGCAGGATGTTGGGTAGAACGGCTTCACAAGTATAGGTGGCATCGGGGTTGGGATGGTAGTCAGTTTCTTCTTGTGGGGCAGGCTACACGAGCCGTGCTGAGGATGACTGACCCTATTGACTAAACGGGTCTTACTGAAACCTAAGATCCCGAATGCCATATCAAAATCACAAAGCCAGGCATGTTCGCCAGACCCGGCGAAGCGCTCACACCTGCACCACCAAGCCTGTCAAGAAGCCAACCGCAGCCAAAGCTTCAGAAGCGAAAGATGAAACCAAAGGTAGACGCTGACAGCCGTAGATCCCTTCTGATACTGGCCTCCCCGACGAACAACAAAACCGAGTTTCTGAAGCATCAAGGCACCTATAGTTCACTGTTAGCAGCACTTGGCAGATCTTTTTAAAGGAACATGGCATCCAGGACAGAGGACAATGCCTCGGCAGCCCCGGCTCCAGCCGACGAGGTGAGCGCGCCGGGGCACAGGGGCGGTTGTATCACCACGGAAATGGCGCTGCCGGCTGAGGCGTAAACCCCCCGAAATCCTGAAAGCCTGACAGTGTGCTTCGGTCCACAGCCTCAACATCATGGTGTATAATCGCTTAGTCGATAGATTCGTCGCGCCTCCGCGATGAGGACCCCAGTCTTTACGTAATAAGGTTTTGAGTTTCCTGCTTAAGGAGTTCACATCGGTTTGATAGTCGCAGATTGGACAACTGATGTGGATCCCAACGCATTGGCACGGAATTGGGCGGTTGATAATATTACAAGGTTGCGGTATGTATGTCCCTTTCGTCGCCACCTCTCTCTGTATCAGTGTTCCATCTTTGGCTCTCTCAAGTTTCTGGCGCCCCCTCGCCCGAAGCTAGATTCCCGCATTGGATGGCTCGCCAAAGAAGTAAAACACACACACGCCACAGCTTCTCTAGAAGGTTTCGTGAAGTCCGTGCATCGTCAAGCAGCAAGCGTAGCTCAAGGGCATTGCAGTTTGAAGCGCCTCGAATGCCAGCCAAGCGATGCCAAAGAGCAGGACAAGCGCCACGAGAGCAGCTCATCCTCAGTGACTCCGCTTAAGGGTAGCAGTGCTGCGGGTGGTTTTGAGCAAGTCGAGTGGACTGAAGGTTTCTTCCTCGCCGTCGCCAATTCGGCAGGACCATGCCTGAGTGCGCATTCCTTGTGGCTGAGTGGCGAAGTGGGCCTTGGGTGTTTCGGTCTTTGGAGACCCGTTTTGTGAAGACTCCCCTGGGTCAGGATGCTCTAGTTTGCATGGCCGTTTCCTGATGAGCGGTGAAAGAGAGAGTGAGGATATGTGCGGATTTGGTTGTCAGGGCAGCCGGGGCCCTGAATTTGCAGGTGGCCACAGGAACATCGACATGAACTATACCTTCCCAGAAAAGACAGGCCCAAAAAACTCTACAATGCGCCGGAGTACTAGCTTTCTTCCAGGTGGAAGGGCGGCCTTAGTTGTCGTCTGTGCAAGGTTGCATTGTGGATCGTCAGGCACAGCGGTGCTATATTATGAGCATGGTGAACATGACGATGACGATTGTGATTCTCACTAGGGTCATTAATTCAGAAAGGGACGCTGTGCCTATTGTCCAGAAATACTGTATCTTATATGGCTTCGTTGACAGACCACATGTTTGTTTTGCTTGTCATGATGTATTGTGTGCCATTGTGCCGAAGCACTGTGGCAGACCGCATGTGTTGTCTTGCTTGCTATGAACTATTGTGTGTATATAAAGCAAGAGTAGAAAGGACTAGTAACGGATTCACTATGTATTTCAGTGTTTGGGATCCGAGCCTGGGGGGGGGCGGGCCGGGACGGGGGGGCGGTTCAAAACAACAAAAACCAAACACAGATAAGGTCAGACTCAGACTGCCTTTTATTTATACTTTTTTCTTTTTTGTTGCCCCCCCCGCCCTCCCTCCCGGGTGGCCGGACCCAGGGGAGGCCTGGAAGCCACCCTCAGCCGCTCTAGCTCCCGCATGCGCACACGCGGGGCGCATGCGGCTGGCAATAGTTGTGCAATGTACTCGTCTAGATCCAGGTTCATGCTAATTCTATATATGACATATGATTAGGACATCTAGCTGCAGCTGATCACGGATTTTACATCTCAAATTAGGCCCACCAGTGTCTGTGTGAAATTAGCTCCGTCAGAAACAAATCGCTTGCTTTCATCAAGGTGGCATATTCATCATTCATCGCTTTCCGAATGCATCTTTATCGCATATCACATTGACAAGGTCGCAATCCAGCATGGCCATCATGCATGTCAAAAATCAAACGGAATTTGTTGAAGGGCAGAAACAAGACGGATGTATCCAATGATGTTCATACTCATCTTTCGACTGTCTTGTTACAAAAAGGACATTCCGAAGCATGGCTGCACCACATGCGAAGCAACAGTCCCACACATGTTTTTTGCCTGTGCAAGATGTCCATTTATCATAAATTGAGGGTAAAAGAGGTATCATGTCCGTTCCAACACTCGTCATAGCAGAGAACGATAGCTGATAACAGGCGATGAACAAGTTTCACGAGGTATCTGCACTAGATATTAGGGCAGAAGGGCGCAAAAAGGAGCGCTGTTGGCGATGCTGTCCTGTGTGCATATGTTTCGCTGTAGAGTGTTGTGGTCGCGGTGCGCATCCATCCAAATGTACTGAACAGGGGGCAGGACGTCTACAGCATGTTGGCAAGTAGTGAGCTTGCACTCCGTCTGTTTTATAAGAGGTTTGGTGGTGGCTGATGTTGTAGCCTATAATGCGCAAATGAAAGCACAATACTTGTGGTAATATGTGTCCAAAATAACAGGTTTTAAAAGCACAATTCGCATGTGAACTGAACAAAGCTTGAAGGTTTGTTCTAGACCACAGTCTCCTATCAGAATTTAGTCGATCCATGTAAGTCGAATGCATGTAAACACAAACTTTTGTTTGCGAAATACCAAACTTCATTCAGAAACCCTAGGAATCAGCAAAGTTACGCTGGTGGACTTTACACATCCCATGAGCATATATATGTGTAGATATGATATATTTTTCTATATATATATATATAGGGTTTCTAAGCATATGCTGCTGCTGTATATCTAGCAAACCTTATCCTCAAAGTAATTATCTCCGTCACGATTCAAGCTGAAGGGGAAGTCATGGAAACCCCATCGAAGACCACGGGCGTCCAGACTCGGATGTATTACGCACTGTGGTAGGGCGGTCCGAAACAACTCAACCTCAAGGTGTGTTCAAGACAGAACAAGTCGTAATGTTAGCTAGTGTATACAAAGGACAGGCGGGAGCTTGTCCAGTACATACTCCAAATCTAAACTAATAGGCCAACAGACTATAGACATGGTAAAGATGTCATATCTGAGACGCGATGCACACACGTGCAAAAGACGTGGTTCTCATCTAGCATATGTGGCATTACACTGAGACCGTATCTTTTTGAAATCAGTGCGGGCATATGCTACGCACGCCTGGCACGGATATTTGTTCTGACTCATCATGGCTTCTCGTGCTTTCGAACGAATGCTGCAAATTACTTGCAACGAAAAAGGTTAACATATGGAATGATGGAAACCGATTGAATACGAGTTGGTTTGGAGCTGAATACATGTGCACGTGTTAGACCACCCTTTGATTTCAACAGTGATTTTCGCTACACAAAACATGCGACAACACTGAAAATATGGTCCCCCCAGGGCGTCCCACCCTCTAGAAAGCATCACCCTCGGGGCCCGGTTTTGTGTGATTGTAGAAAACTCATATTGTAGGAATTACGGGCTGTGTTTGTCTTCCTGGTTGATATCCTTGATATGGAGAGATAGATTTGGCGTTTAGTGAATTGAATCGAATAAGTAGGGTACTAGATATAAGTGATTATCGTACTATACTAGAGGAAAAGGAGCAGCGAGGTCAAAAAAGTAAATTAAGAAAATTGGAAATATTTGTTTTTATTTTTGTTTTTATTTTTTTCTTGAATCGTTGCCCCCTCCCCTCCAGGCCAGTGAACTAGACTCCCTTGAGCCTGGACCCAGCCCTGGGGAGCGGCTTCTGTATCCCTGGCATGTAAAATGAGGGAGCCAGAAATTACGTTTTACGATCAAGTCTTGCTGTTACTGATTACTGAAGCTGTCTATCGGAGTCTCCCCCGGCCTTGAGTAGTAACTCTGTTAATTGATATCACTGTTTCAGACTCCCTTGGATTTTGTGATGCAGGCCCAGTACTTTCAAACAAATCTGAGCGCGTGTTTGATTCAACCTTACCCGCAGCCACAAAACCAGGACATGCTGTGAACTCTTCGAGGGCTGTCGTCGTTGTGAACCCACAGCTGCTCCTCCAATATACGCATTATATTTGAGCAGCAACGCTTTTGTGTGCAGCAGGATGCCCGGCTGCAGGATCTCTGCATGTGACCCGCGAAACAGAGATTGGTATCAGAAGCCTTTCTACCCGCGACCTGTTTGTTCTAAGTCATTGCACCCAACGCTGCCAGGACTTTTACGTCTTCCAGCCCAAGGCACGTGGCAAGGCTCCTACCAGGGTGTCAGTGTTGAAAACAGCGTGACCCTTGTGAAGAGCGCCCTATAGGCGAACTGAGACTCATAACAAGGGCTTTAGAGGCTACCCGAAAGGTCCAATGTACCCAATGTTGAGGTACATGGGTTGGAGTCCCACAATGGTTCATCGGACTGAATCTGAATTGGGAGCAAGCATCCTCCCATCCTGCGAGTCTTCTCCATGCGCTGGTAGACGGTTGCATCCACCGATGAAGAGTGAGTCTGGCAAGCTATAGCCATCTACAGAGCCTTGAGTCCTTCGTTCATCATCCCTGAGGATGCTAGTGTATTGAATGTCTCGGCTCATGCAGAAGCTGCGACGTTGCAATGCTGAAGTGGTCTGCCTGCCAGTGGGAAATTTGAGCTTCAAACGGACGCTCTCCGGTACCCGACGTTGCTAATTCAAGGGCATTGCAGCTTCAAGCGCCTCGATCACTATCCTTAGCCAAATCCCTCACCTAAGTATCTCTCTCACTCTCTCACTCTCTCGCTCTCCCTCTCTTGTCTCTCTGTCTCTCTCTCTCTCTGTCTTTCTCTCTCTCTCTCTCTCTTTTCTTTTCTTTTCTCTCTCTTGTCTCTCTCTCTCTCTCTCTAGCCTCTTCTTTCAAACGAAACCTCGGAGCGTCTTCTCTTGGCTTTGTGTGTTTCTGCGCCCGGCGGTGGTATCACCGCGGAAATGGCGCTGCCGGCTGAGGCGTAAACCCCCGAAATCCAGAAAGCCTGACAGTGCTTCGGCCCACAGCCTTAACATCATGGTGTGTAATCGGTCAGTCGGTAGAGTCGTCGCCCCTTCGCGATGAGGACCCCGGTCTTTATATAGTGAGGTTTTGAGTTTCCTGCCGCAGATTGGACGACTGTTGTGGATCTCAACACATTAAGACTTCAAGGGGCGCACTGAGAGCGAGACCATGCGACTACTCTGGCTGGAGGTGCCAACCGGCGGCGCTGCAGCCTCGACCCAGGCACGGAATTGGGCGGTTTCTAATATCACAAGGTTGCTGTATGTATGTCACTTTCGTTGCCGCCGAAGTCTATGGTGTTGTAGAGGTGCTCTCGGGGACCATATATGGTAGTTGATCTAAAGCTCCTTGAGCCATAGGCGAACTGAGATTCAGAACAAGGGCTTTAGAGGCTACCCGAAAGGTCCAATGTACCCAATGTTGAGGTACATGGGTTGGAGTCCCACAATGGTTCATCGGACTGAATCTGAATTGGGAGCAAGCATCCTCCCATCCTGCGAGTCTTCTCCATGCGCTGGTAGACGGTTGCATCCACCGATCAAGAGTGAGCTACAGCCATCTACAGAGCCTTGAGTCCTTCGTTCATCATCCCTGAGAACGCTAGTGTATTGAATTTCTCGGCTCATGCAGAAGCTGCGACGTTGCAATGCTGAAGTGGTCTGCCTGCCAGTGGGAAATTTGAGCTTCAAAAGGACGCTCTCCGGTACCCGACGTTGCTAATTCAAGGGCATTGCAGCTTTAAGCGCCTCGATCTCACTATCCTTGGCCAAACCCGTCACCTAAGTATCTCTCTCACTCTCTCGCTCTCCCTCTCTTGTCTCTCTTTTCTCTCTCTCTCTCTCTCTCTTGTCTCTCTCTGTCTTTCTCTCTCTCTTGCTCTCGTGTCTCTCTCTCTAGCCCTTTCTTTCAAACGAAACCTCGGAGCGTCTTCTCTTGGCTTTGTGTGTTTCTGCGCCCCGCGGTGGTATCACCACGGAAATGGCGCTGCCGGCTGAACTATGAAAAACGGGGTGGGAGTGGCAAGCTTAAAGGATTGCGGAGTGGCCAAGCCCTATAAAGAGAGAGGGGGGTGGCGAAACCCGCAGCCCTAAAGGATATGAGGCGTTGGAAATCCGGAACCGTTCTAAAAGGAGTGCGGCAAGTAGCAAGTCCGCAAAAGTAGAAGCTAGCGAAATATCCTAACTGATGCCAGAAATAGCTTCCTAACTGCAAAAATGCTCGTCCTTGAGCAGATCGTTTCGTCAGGCACGCGGCAGGAGGCCGTTCACCCAAACGCCGATGGGTGGCCTGGTGGGCAGAGAGCGTAGGCTAAAGTTTCAGCGAACTTTGACCCATAACCTCCGGGCCTTGAAGCCACAAGGCATCCACCGAGATCCCGAAACTTGAGCCGCAGAAACCCGGCTTAAGAGGATTATACCGACTACTGTATACCTTTCTATTTTCAGAGAGCTTGCAATCAATCCAAGAATGCACTGTGCTGTTTGTGGATCTTCAGGGGCCCTGGCCCAGACGCCTCGTTTGAACAGCATGGTAAACAATGGCCTACTCTTAAGATGTGTCGCCCACGCCCAAAAGGGAGCAGTTGCCCTTCTGAAGCAAGACTCGCACGAGGAAAGTGGATACCCCGCCCCCAATATCTAAGTAGCTTTAACGCACGGACAAATTCTTGCAGGGTGATGCCTGAAGAAAGTTAGTTGTAGTGCTTGAACATGTGATTGTGACAACCCAGGTACCGGTCTTGCAGTGCCAGCATCCTCCCGAAGGGTGATCAGACCTTAGTCTCGATTTCCTGAGATAGCACATTTTTGACCTCATGCCATAGTTAGTGTCTCTGCAGTACTCAGGCACTCGCCGCAGTCTGGGCCCAAAAGTTGCTGTTCCTGTGATACTTGTGCTGCCCGCAGTTGACCCCCCAAGCTCCCCTGGATTGTGATGGAAGCATAAACTCGGTGTCAGCGTCGCGGTGGTGTACTTGAGATATTTCCAGCTGAGTGCCAAGAGTTTTGTAAAGCAGTGCTGGTGCAGCTAAGGCCGGGCTCATGATCATGCAGCTCAGTCGCTGCCTGAAGTTGTGGGTTATCTTGGGCACGTTCGGCGACGACGACTACTTCTACTCCTACTATCTGCACACTGCGTTAGTGCATTGAAGAGCACATGGTATTGCTACTATCTTACCAAAATGCCGCCTAACCCTCCAGAACAAACACTTAAGCACATGAAAAGAACTACGTTGAAACGAGATCCGTCTGCAATGCCGAGAAAAGAACATAATAGCCCAAGCCAGTAAACCACAGCTTATAGGGACGAGGATGCTGCCAGAGTAAGAATGTTAAGTAGTGCCGTTTCTGTTCGGGTTTGGATTTCTCCGAGTCTTCAGTCATTCAAGATGATGCTTCGGATCTTCACTCCACTCGTGAGCCGGAACTCGAAGTGCGGGGAAGTGTAGTGCACCATACAGCCAAAGCTCAATAAGGCTCGACTCCTCAGCATGTACTTCGGGGCCCACTCTTAATTCCTAATAACCCAAGAGAGCTGGGACCAAGGCCGTCACAGACTCCTCAGCATGTACTTCGGGGCCCACTCCGAATTCCTAATAGCCCAAGAGAGCTGGGACCAAGGCCGTCACAGAGCGACAGAACAGGAATCGTCCCTGAACCATGCAACATCGACATTGTGGAATTTTTATTCCACTCCAGCAGGTTGCAGCGGTCGTGCTTTCTTCTGGATTCGGGGGCCGCTCAAACCAGCGACACATTATTCGGAAAAGTCCGAGGTCTGCCAGGGTTTGACAACGATATGTCATCCATAAGCCCCTAAGCACGTGCAGACTTGCTGCCACTGGCTAGTGATGTGTGCTCACAGGCACAAGCGTAAGAACAAATCCAAAATATTGCCAAACGCACTTCAGGAAGGTCGTTAAAGCCCCTCGAGTTCCCGATGGCTTGTGTCAGAATCCAGTTCCACGCACGCTGCATCTTTCCAGCAAGACTGGGTGTTCCTTGTTTGTCATCGTTGTTATGATGAATTTGTTTGACGTCTTGCAGATACATACTGTAGTTGTTGCTCCTTGCAATATTCCATGACAATGTCGGCGTTAGCTGCAAGCCGCGGACCCAGAACCGGCAAGAAAAACATCGCAGCCACTCAGACGATAACTAATCCCGACAGAAGCACCAGGGAGGCTTACTTGGGATTCGCGGGCAGATACTTGACTTCATCACACTAAATATACCAGGAGTGCCTTATAACGACAAGAATCATATCCCTTTTGCATAAGGATAAAGGGCCATTGGCATCATTATCGCTGTGTGCTCAAGATCAGTCCCATAATCTGATGCCTGATTTTCAGTCTGAGAGGCGGGTATTTCGTCGATTCTTTGAAGTAGCCTCTCGGCTCATGGAGGATCTGGAATCCTTCCATATAATTTATCGTAGGTAGGTAGTAGAAATCCCACTAAATAGATATAAAATATATTTTAGATTCTGATAATCGTCGGTAAATTACGATACAAAAGAAAGATCCTAATATATATTTTTTTCTTAGTCGAGACGTAGAGAATTGATAATATATAGTTTCTTACGGTCGTA